GAGGGACCTGCTGGGTAGTCAGGACATCCACATCGGTGTTTCGGTTGAGCAGTGAATGGCAGGCGATTTTATTGAATGTATAGGTATCTTTCTAGGTACCTTTCTGTCTGTCTAACCATCTCTGTCTATTTACCTGTCTCTGTATGTATGTAATAATAAATAATAATAATAATAATTAACGGATTATTGAAAGAGCACGTCAGCCGGAAGGCTGAAAATATAAAGTTACACAATTGGGGAATGGGTCTCTTGATTTACAAATTATATGCAAGTAACATAAGTGATACAAATATGATATATAATAACTAGGTGGGGAGAAGCTCAAACTACAGGTCATTTCAACATTGTGACAGTGCAAAAAGTAAGATTGACTGGGAGTGAATACACTGGTTGATTACAAGTTATTAATAATTTTTACAGTGGTTGGGACTGGGCTGTTCTTATAGCGACCAGTTCGTGCTCGTATGAGCTGGATGCGGTTGTGGTGTCGAACAGCAATTCTCGGACGAGGGATCTCGGGTGGTAGTTAGAGCCGGTGTCGAGGATGGTGCAGAAGCTTCTCACCAAATTTGCTGACGAGGTCGTGATGATGGTCAGAGAGAGCCGAGAGGGTCAGTGTGTTGAGCGCTTCTTGATATGTGGAGTAGGAAGGGGAGAGAATAATCTTGCATGCCCTCTTCTGCACTTTTTCTAGGTGTTTACGTTGTGTGCCATTTCGGGAGGCAGACCATGTAGGGGAGGCATAGGTGAGCTTGGGAAGTATGAATATTGAGTAAACACTGAGGAGCTCGGGGGCAGGAACTCCGAGAGACTTTAGTCGGAAGAGGAGGTGGAGACGACAACTGGAGGATTTGACAACTTCATTGACGTGTGGTTTCCAATTTAGTTTGTTGTCTATGGTGACGCCGATGAACCTAGTGGAATCTACAACCTGGAGTGTGTTGGAACCTAAAGTAATGGAAGGGGGTGGGACAACGTCGGAGGAGAGGTTGATGTGCATAACCATGGTCTTGGTATGGTTGATGGTGACATGGTTGTTGGTGGCCCAGTTTTGGAGACTGTTCAATAAATCCTGAAGGGCGGTATTGTCGGGAGCAGAATTGTTGACACTGATCCCAATGGTGGAGTCGTCGACATATTTCCAGCGAGCAGAGGTTTCTCTTAGGGTATCATTGATAGGCATGTATGTATGTATGTATGTATGTATGTATGTATGTATGTATGTTTGTATGTATGTATGTATGTTTGTGGCTCACTTGAACTAAATTATAAGGTTTTCTCATCTCTCGTCTTCAAACTTGGTGAAAAAACTCAAGACGTCAAAGTTCTCAGAATCGATTCTTAGATCCTCTTTTCCAAAAGTTAATGAGCTGTTGCATAATTGACTTACGCTTCACTGGCGTTTTCCACCGGGTAACAACAGCATCGTCTGGCGTAACCTTTTTTTGTTTATATTTGAGGGCTCCTGACTTGTTAAAGCTACGCCAGACGAATGTTCGCTCGTCTTCTGCCTCCGGTGATACTGTATGGTGTGTTTTAGTGTTTAAAATACCGTTGTCTTATTTCTACCCCTCCATGTTTATTATTAATTATTATTATTATTATTATTATTATTATTATTATTATTATTATCATTATTATTAATTTATTGGAATTGCTATTATCATTAATCTGATTATTATTTTTATCACTAGTATCGATATAACTTTCATTATTATCCATTATTGTTATCATTAATTATAAGCAGGAGAGTTCACTACCTCTATGTGTTGATGTTAACAAGGTGTCAGCTCATTAGTGATAATATCATAGAATTATTTGAACAATATGCCGGTGAGAGCTGTGACCCCGCCCCCTCCTACCTTGTTACTCCCACACCAGAGATATGAGGAGGATCTTACGACTAAAAATATATTCTAAAAAATATATAAATTATTCTCAAATATTCGTAAGTTATGCTCAAAGAATTTCCCTTAAATGCTCTCCAGGATTCGTACGGTAATAATGAACGCTCGTAATGGGTGGTTTTAGGACAATATATAAATACTCTCAAATAATTTCCACGTAAGGTCTTGTCAGATTTACCTTAGTCAGCATCGATTAAGGTCCAAAATTCTTAAATATTTCTTACGCTATTTTTTTTTTCCTCCAAAGTCTGTGAACTAGATATGAGAGAGAGAGAGAGAGAGAGAGAGAGAGAGAGAGAGAGAGAGAGAGAGAGAGAGAGAGAGAGATGATGACCCCCTTCAGGACCACCTTCTTGTTATTATTAGTGTGATATATACGACAGGTCTCGCCTCTCTCTGGCAGTATGGACGACCCGGCGTCTTTCACTGGAGGCAATGGAGGGTAAACCTGTTTTATTGCACCAGTTCTAGAGTTTTTTTTTTTTGGTGACTTAGTGAAGTCTTTTGTTAGCCTCTGACTAAGAGAGAGAGAGAGAGAGAGAGAGAGAGAGAGAGAGAGAGAGAGAGAGAGAGAGAGAGAGAGAGAGAGAGAGAGAGAGAGAAAGAGAGACTCTTTTTCATAATTAAATCTGTTCCTCCTTTAATTCGGCCAAGACAAAGACACAAAGAAACTATAAACATTATCCTTGTCTCTTTTTACCGTGTTGTGTCAAGAGTACACCTGATCTACTCCACCTCAGTAATATTGTCCCGTTATTACCTGGACACGGCTAACACATGGGTTCTTCACTGACGCTTAATTACCCCTGACAACCGGACCCTCGCACCTGTGATCTTACCTGACTTGGTATATAGAGAAGTGTCTTGTATCTGGCAACCATAGATAATAACATCATTTCATTGGCTGATACGTAGGAGGTAAACAAGATCTTTCAACCAATCATAGAATGGACTGAGTGTTATGAGCTATCATCACTATTGTCTCAAGTTAATTCGCCTCTAATTAGGTTTTATTTTTATTCCTCACTTTCTCTCCCCCCCCCCTCCCTCCACCTCCCGTCCTGCTCGTGTTTGTCTATGCATAATACCTAAGTAAGTATCGTCTTCACACAATTAAACGCTCCATACACAAACAGACAGACAGACAATATCTCTTTTCGGTAGTCAGGATTTCACCTCTGTTTAAACCACACATAAACTACTGATGCCTTTGTTTACCTACCAGAGCGTTCCTTTTACAGGGATAATATGTGTATGTGTGTGTGTATGTGTGTGTGTGTGTGTGTGTGCGTTTTCTATTCAGGATACCGTAATATTTCCACGAATTTCCCATCGACAGATTTTTTACTTCATCATTTAAAGCAAAAAAAACCTAATATGTTTTTTTCTTGAGTCATTTATAAGTTCGTTGGTAAAATGGAAAAAAAAAGTATTGACGTATAAAGGAAATTAAATCGACTCCATTAGTTTTAAGCTTGAAGCTGTTGTCAAGGAGAGGCAGCAGTGTTCCACCTATGTTCTTTTCGTTCTGTTTTGGTTATACGGGTACCATTTTTTTGTTCATCTTGTTCTCTTTTGTTCTATCTTTCTTCAGTTTGTTCTTGTTGTTCTGTTTTTGTTTTCTTTGTTTTGTCTTTGTTCTAATTATTTTATCTGTCCTTTCTTAACTCTTCCATCGTTCTTTCTTTCTCTTAAGCTTCTTTTGTCTTCCTTTCACCCTCCTTCCTTCCTTCCTTCCTTCCTTCCTTCCTTTCTTCCTTCCTCCATCCCTCCTTCCTTCCTTCCTTCCTTCCTTTCCTTCCTTTCTTCCAACATTTGTCTCTCTTTCAGTCTCCCCACCACCATCTACACCTCCCTACCTCACTTCCCCTACAATATCACCTCCACCACCATCTCCCCTCCCCCCCACGGCACCGCCCCTCACCCCCTCCTCCCATCCCACCTCCCCACCTGCCCTTCCCTTGACCATAGTCTGGCCACATAACCCTTTTCTTCCCCGCCCTACTGGCATGGGGCTCTCTCTCCCTCTTTCTTTCCGGCTCTCTCTTAATCTTCCTCTCTCCTCTCCCTCTCTTTCTCTCCTTGTCTCTATAGGTTTCAGTTTTTCATTTTTCTACCTTATATCCATCTCCCTGTCTCTATTTCTCCTTTATTTTCCCTATATCTCTCGCTACAACTTTTACTGTATTATTCTCTCTCTCTCTCTCTCTCTCTCTCTCTCTGTCTCTCTCTCTCGCTCTCTCTCTCTCTCTCTCTCTAACTGGTACAAAGTCTACAGAGATTGTAGTCACCAAGGCCGTATTTGTCTTAACTGACGATTGAAACAAGAAAAATAGCATTTCTATTATTTGACATAAAGAGAGAGAGAGAGGAACGACTGATCCAAACACTAACTTTAGTTACACCCTTTGTATTATGAAATAGCGAATATATCATTAATTATCTTGTTAAATTTCGATGTAACTTTTAATGATCTATTTTCTATTAATTAGGAGAGGAAGATTTATTTATTTATATATACGCTTATTAAGGCACAATGAACATTTTATCAATATATTATTTTTTCTTTGAATAAATAATAGGTTAGGTTAGGGTTTTAGGGTTACTTTAAAAGGTAAATCATTCTATTTCTTTATTATTTATACAAGTTAAAAATAAATAGTAATAAATTAACATAGATATTAAATAAATAAATTTTATCACCAGATCTTTAATCTTAGTTATACTCTGTACAACTGAGCCCCAAGTACACAACAACAACAACACCAGTAATAATTATACTCAGTAGTGATCGAGAGAGAGAGAGAGAGAGAGAGAGAGAGAGAGAGAGAGAGAGAGACCATTATCATCTTAGAAAAAAAATGAAAGTAAGAAAAAGCAATTAAACTGATACCAAACAAAGTCGGTATTTTCCACTATAACGAAATGATACGTGTGTGTGTGTGTGTGTGTGTGTTTGTGTGTGTGTGTGTGTGTGTGTGTGTGTTCCATGTTCCAACTATAACGAAGTCCCACTGCTATATGTTCTCATTAACAGCAAAATCATAATTAATACTACACATACCAAAGACAAAACAGGTAGGATTTTTTTTCCTTTTCTTATTGACTATGTCGCTAAGTCCCGTGTGTACAGATTAATCAACTCCAAAAAAATATCGTAAATCTTTTCCGTCTGTCGCCACTGAGCAGAATGGCTGTTACCTTCAGTGTTCCTCTGTGTTAATTTACTTAGTTCTTTTATTATTACGGTAAGACTAATATTTTTTTTTTATACTTTTTAACAACAATAACAATAATAAATAATAATAATCGTTTTTATTATCATTATCAATAATTGCCAACACAATTATTGATCTAATCGTCTTACTCTGCAACTAATTAGAAAAATCCCCCCAAATTTCATTGCGATAAGGACCTGTGAACGAGGACATATAATCTTATTGGAAACTGAAAAGTTCTTTATCATTCTGTAGCTGTCTGAGTTATCCAGGGAAGGTCACGCAGCCTTGGTAACAGTTGTGATTTTGTACGCGAGAGGTATAATTTTGTCTCGTGTTTACTACTACTACTACTACTACTACTACTACTGCTGTTACTACTACTACTACTGTTTTTATCTGTTCTTACCTATTTTGTTTTGCTCCGCTTTCTTCCCTCTTTCAATGCTTCCCTATTTCCTTTATTTTTTTTTTTTGGTTTCTATTCGGAGTGTGAGTTACTATCTGGTTTCTATTGAGAGTGTGGGGTCTCTGCTACAATGGTCCGCCACGTCTTCAGTAGGTTCGGATCCTTCGGTCTCTGAAACCCTCTTGGTCTCTGCTTATCTGTGGTTTCTACAATCTCCCCGTTTTCTGTTTTGGGGGATCTCTTTTGTGTTGGTGTTTTCTATTTATAATTCTCTGTGGTTTCTTTTTTTCACATTGGTTAAAAATGTTTTTGGTCACCGAGATGCTCCTTGTGGTCTGCTTTCGTCACTAATTCCTTCGTGGTTTCTGGGGTTCTCTACGTCGGTATTCTGGTCTCTGTGATATTGTGTCTTCAGTGTTTTCATTAAGTTTCCTAGTTTCCCGTGGTCTCTCCCTGGTCTCTAAGGTCCATACGAGTGTGGTCGGCCTGGGCAGTGTTGTCGGGTGGTTAGTCGGGGATGGTTGAGCTTTTGGTAGGCTTGGTCTGATTGTCAGTCGAGGAAAATCTTGGTGGTCACTATAGTATGATCAGCTTGGTTTGGTTGACCTGGTCGGGTGGGTCAATCAGTGTAGCTCTGATTGGCCTGGTCGGGTGGGTCATTTGGACTAGATCAGAACAGTTTTGGTCGGGTGAGTCAGTCGGTGTAGATCTGGTTGGCCTGGTCGGGTGGCTCAGTCGGTGTAGATCTGGTTGGCCTGGTCGGGTGAGTCAGTCAGTGAAGATCTGGCTGGCCTGGTCGAGTGGGTCAGTCGTAGTCGTGGACAATGAGGTTAATCTCTTCGAATATGGCCCGGTAGGCTAACGGCGCCGTGTACCTGGACAATAGTGATAACAGTTAACAATTAACAGGTGAGATTACTTAACAGGTAGGGGATAACAGATTGATTAGTAGATAAGGGTAATAATGTATAAATTATTGGGGTTAAGTACAGTGTAGGTTAAGGGTGAGGGAGGTGTAGAGGTGAGGGAGATGTAGGTGTAGGGGTGAGGGAGGTGTAGAGGTGAGGGAGATGTAGGGGTGAGGGGCGGAGCGTCTGGGATGCGTGTGGTCATATTAAACAGGCTCCTTAAGGTCTTACTTTTCCTGGATGTAAAAGTTGCCAAGAAATTTAGTGTGTGTGTGTGTGTGTGTGTGTGTGTGTGTGTGTGTGTGTGTGTGTGTGTGTTGTGGTTTATTGCCATATTGGATTTATGGTTGATATGTAAACACTTGTGAGAATATGAAAGAAGTATGAAAGTATTTTGTGAGTAGAGAGAGAGAGAGAGAGAGAGAGAGAGAGAGAGAGAGAGAGAGAGAGAGAGAGAGAGATTTTTTTACCCCTACCTTCCCCCGTTACCTGTAATGGTGTCATCCCACTTGATGATTCCCAAAATGATAATTTCCACAGGGATGATTATAGCTAAAAATCATTCATACATCACAAATTCTTTTAGAAATATTGTCTTTATTATAGGAATAATTATGAAATACATTAAGATGAATGAATTAATTATAAATAAAATATGAACTTTATTATTATTATTTTCTTATTCATTGCTCTTAATTTAATAATCAAAAGTTATTAATTTGCATTCAAATGTTTCATATTATGCCTGTATTCGAATTCATACAAAAATAAGTATATGTGGATCCTGTCAGTAAGTCAGGTGACCTTATAATAGCATCAAGGCTAAAACAGGTGGAATTAGTGGGATAATTTAGTGAGGTGAGTCTAGGCTCTCTGACGGGCGTCGACTCTCAACACGGGGTCCAGCTATACCTTCTTCTGGAAGGGTAAGCCTTCTGCGGACAGAAATCGCATTTATGGAGTTGGCTTTGCCATTCACCAGTCCATCCTACATAGGCTAAATGAAATGCCTATTGGGAGCAACGAGCGCCTCATTACGCTCTGAGTCCCACTGAATCACTCACGTCATGCCTTCTTCATCAGTGCATACGCCCCAACACTGGATGCAGAGGAGGACATCAAGGAGACCTTTTACAGCGACCTTGACAGTGCTAATCCCTATTCCCAGAGAAGACAAGGTTGTGTTCCTAGGTGACTCCAATGCCAGAGTTGGCAGAGATGCTGACACATGGCACGGAACCATCGGGAGAAACGGAGTAGGCAAGTGTAATCCCAGCGGCCTACTCCTCTGTAAGTGTGATGAACACAACTTCACTCTCACCAACACCTTGTTTAGGCAGGACGACAAATTCAAGGATTCTTGGCAACACCCATGATCCAAACATTGTCATCTCACTGATTACATCATCGTCAGAGAAATAGATCGCCGAGATGTCCTCATCACCCGTGCCATGTGTGGCTCAGACCACTGTGATACAGATCATCGACTCGTCAGAACCAAACTCCACCTTCACGTCGCCCCAAAATGGTGAAAGCAACACGTCATCAGAAAAGGGTTTAACACCAAGCGACTGGAGGATCCAACGGTAGCACTTGCTTTCAGAAAGCAGCTCATAGATGGCCTGAAAACAACCCATCAACAAACAACTCAAATCCCTGTGCTGAATGGGGTCCCATCAAAGCTGTCATCACAAAAACCTGCAACGAGACACTCGGCCTGATCAAAAGAAAAAAACAAGACTGGTTTGATGAAAACGACCAGGAAATTGAAGTACTCCTCACTCGTAAAAGTCCTGCTCTCACTGACTGGCAGAACAACCCTTAGTCTCGGACCAAAGCTGACACCTCCCACAAGGAGAAAGCGGCGGTCCAGTGGGAACTTTGTAAACTAATGAAAGAATGGAGGAAAAATTAAATCATGTGAAATGCAAAAATTTACGGATCAACACAAGATCCTTGAATTTTTTCATTACGTTCAAGCAATATATGGTCCAACTACTCATGGCGTGGCCCGCTCCTCTTATCCGACGGTAACTCCCTAATTAAAGATGAAAAAGACATGTCAGTGCTGGAAAGAGTACTACCATTCGCTACTCAACCAAAACACCGATGTGGCTGTCCTGACTACCCAGCTTGTTCCTCAACACCCAGAGCTAGCCCACCTCAGCTATCCTTCATCCCTGGATGAGGTAGCTACTGCCATAAATCAGATGAAATCCCCTAAGACCTTACCGATGCCTCGATCAGCGATACTTATAAGAACAAGGGAGACCGGTAAGATTTTGGCAACTACCGCGGGATCTCGCTGCTGTCCATAGATGGCAAGATTATTGCCCGAGTCTTCCTAAACAGACTTCGTCCTAAGGCGGAAAACTTGCTCCCATAATCTCAATGTGATTTAGATCATCACGCAGCACCACTGACATAATCTTTGCTGCCCGCCAGATAAAGGAAAAGTGCAGAGAACAGAGCTGTGACTTGTACAGGGCTTTCGTTTGCCTTACTAAGGCCTTCGACTCGGTCAACAGGGAAGCCCTCTGGCAGACTCTCAGTCGTCTTAGCTGCCCACCAAAATTCATTGCCATTGTGAGGCAACTCCATGATAGCATGAAGAGCAGTGTCCTACACAATGGCACCTAGTCTTGGGTTTTTCCCCATCCAAACGGGGGTAAAACAAGGATGTGTACTAGCACCAATTCTCTATTTAATTTTCATGGCTGCCTTCCTTATTCGTGCCAGTGCCAATTTAGCCGGCGGGGTGGACATCCAGTACGGAATGAAGAGAATTTTCAACATAAGACGACTCGAGGCAGGAACAAAGGTGTCGGCCACTTCCATCACTGAACTTCAGTATGCAGACGACCTCACCCTCGTCACTCACACTAATCGCGACCTACAGGAGATCCTAAACACCTACGCAGATGCGTATGCACACTTCGGCCTTGAGGTGAATGTACGTAAGACTCAGATTCTCTTTCCGCCTGCCCCCGTTTCAGCCACACCTCCACCATCCTTCCAGCTTAATGGTACTACCCTCTCTAATGTTACCCACTTTTTGTACCTTGGCTCCCACCTGTCCACCACCGCGGACATCAATGAAGAGATTCAACATCGGATCAGAAGTGCGTCTCAAGACATTGGCAAAGTCCGTACCCGTCTCTTCAGCTGTAGGGAACTGAAATTATTTACAAAGTTGGATGTGTGTCAAGCAGTGGTCCTTCCATCCCTGCTCTATGGCAGCGAGACATGGGTTACAGACAGGAGGCACCTGGAGGTACTCAAAACTCTCACCAACAAAGTCTACATTTTATCAACTGAGTTCGCTGGAAAGACAAGAGAACAAATGCCATTATTCTTGCTGACACCAACTGTAGGAGCATCGAGGCTACCATTATCCATGAACAGCTATGCTGGACTGGCCATATTACTGGCATGGACGACAGTAGACTGCCAAAACAGCTACTTTACAGTCACCTAACGTAACCCTGGCGGATAACTGACGAGATATAAGGATAGTCTTAAGACAAACCTGAAAAAGTGCCAAATCGACTCCCTCCCCTGGGAGACGGTCACTCCACACCGTAACGGTTGGATGAGCACCACACGAGGTGTCAATACTTTCGATTTAGCCCGACTGCATACCGAGGCAGACAAGCGCCAACACTGGAAAGAGGCTGCCGCCACTCTCCCGCACTAGATGTAGCTCTCCACACGTGCAACATCTGTGGACGGCCCTGTCAATCCCGCATCGGCTTCTCGAGTCACCTCAGAACTCACCAACGAAGGTGACATCCCTAGTAACACATATCATTGCATCATAGCTGGGAGATCATCATATTTGATACCGAGTGATAGCAAAGTAGTTGTAGTTAGTTAGGTCATGCCTTTGGAAGGAAACAGTCAGTAATCTTAGCTATAATCGTCCATATGGGAAATTGTCTTTCTGGGAATCGTCCAAGTGGGAAGAAAATCGTCTATCTGGGAATTGTGTTAGTGACATGTGATATAAGATTGGTATTTGTTTGAGACATGAACGTCTCTAAAAAGAGATCAAATGCTCTCAACTTCCATCTCTCTCTCTCTCTCTCTCTCGTGGGTGGACAGGTAACGTCTACACCGTACACTTCTCCCTCCCCTCACCGACAAGTTATCTCCAGTGATATGAAAAAAGTTGGTTGATAAGACACTGCAGTCTGGCATTTTTTTTCCGAAACCATACGTAACACACCCCCCCCCCTTCTTCCCCACATACACACACACACACACACACACACACACACACACACACTGCAATAAATTAGGATGTTCCAGGACCAGACAGGCGAATTAGTAACAAGATTAACAACCGCCCAAAAAATTAGGTCGACAGATCAGTAGAGACAGAATTACAATGAAGACTACCAGGTAAGAGATGGCATAAACTTTATAGGTACTTAATGAGAGGGAAGGTTTAATATTGAAAAAAAGTAGGGGAGATAATTTGAGATTTGGAGACATGTTAATGGGAAGGAGTTAGAGAGAGAATCAAAATAAATGGGAATAGCAAAAAGGGGAGGATGTACAGTAACTCTCTAAATAACGAACACTTGGACGAGAGACTTTGATGATTGATACCGAGAAAAACAAAAATATTTACTGGTGTATAAATTGAACAAGGATGAAACAGGTACTCAGTCATAAGCTGCGGTAGTGAGGACGCTAAATCAATATCCAGGCCCCAGATTAGATGATGATAAGCTGAAGACAAGTAGAATATTAGTATCTTGATGTCTCAGAGTTTTTTATATGGGTTAACGCTTGCTTGTACATACCTGGGTCACGGCTCTCACTCTCAGCCATTCTCCAAGATTAATAAGTTAGTTTTAAGTTTTACTAGAGATGGTCAGAATCTGGTGTACTGACTTAAGCCAAAACACAAAGTTGGATTTTTCCCAAGATCCATATGTTGATTATAATTTTTATTTAGAGACGATATAAACCTTCTAAACGACTCACTTAAGCTAAGATAGAAAGATTATTTCCTCAAGGTTCTTACGGTATTTTCTCCGTAACAAAGAACGTAAGAACGCTCCTGTTTTCGAAAATCTTACTGTAAAGTGGACCAAATTTTTACCTCCAAATTTGAGAATCTATCTTGTTATCGCAGCTCCAGCAAGCCACAAATTAAACGGTTTCTGAATTCTCCAAGTTGAGGACGAACACAGCTGACTCCACCTTTAGGTAACAGTAACCAAGATATTATATTAAACCTTAGCAGTCAGTTAACCTGTTGGCTTATACATCTTTGAGAATCTGGGTACAGTTCTTTTATAAGTCGTGGCGTTTATTCTCGTATGACCAGACGTGGACGTTTTTATCGATGAACCAAGAAGAGGGACTAGTGTGCCCTCTAGCTAGTCATCCCTACCTGTATAACGTCATAACACACACACACACACACGCACACACACACACACACACACACACACACACACACACACACACACACACACACACATCGTTGCAGGAAAGATTGGCGATTCTGTTCTGGGTGAGGTTGAGGGGTACCATATGAATGTAAGTATTACCTGTTGTACATAGAAGGTAAGTGGCATGTTTACCTGTCTAGACGGGTTGAGAGAGGGAAGAGAGTTAGGGGTAGGAGGGAGAGGAGGAGAGGGAAAGAAACATAACACTTACCGGAAAGAGAACGAGGGAGGGAGAGAACAAGAAGGAAGGAAGGAAGGAAGGAGGGAAGGAAGGAGGGAGGGAGGGAGGGAGGGAAAGAGCGTTGGAAGAACAGAAAGAGCTGTGAGGAAGGAAAAGATGGAGGAAGGAGGAGGGGAAGGAAGGAAGGAGGGAAGGAAGGAAGGAGGGAGGGAAGGAGGGTACACTTACCTTCCGGGACACAACCTGTACGCCAGCTCACACGAAGGACCTGTCAATCCCTCCATCACCGCCAGCGCCCGGAGACCTCGAGGTGAAAGATCTCCCATGGGGTCCTTTTCCCTGGAGACCAAGACACGTGGAGGTAAATACACGGAGATTAGGACACGTGGAGATCAAGATACATGGATTTATTAACCTTTTTTATGCTTTAAGTATTATCTTAGACGGGACTGTATGCGAATCCGTGTCTGCCTGTCTGTCTGCCTGTGTGTCTCTCTTTCTGTCTACCCCTCTGTTTATCTGTCTGTCACTCTGTCTATCTGTCTGTGTGTGGATGGTCATTTAGGTCCTAATCCAGACATAAGACTTGAGACATACCCCCTAACAGGTTTCGTGTGTTAATTGGAGTATGGCTAATAGGTTAACCTTTAGACATAGGGGGTAGACATGGGGTAAAACACATAGCCATAAGAGGTATTAATAAGGTTACATCACAGACATTTTTGATAGATATGAGGGAAAAATCTGCCAAGCCTCCGTTACATTAGTGGTTATTGATAATGGTGAATATTAATGAACTGTGATAGATTAGCCGAGGGGTTCACTGGAGTACCTGGGGAGATAAGACAATTAATGAAGAGCACAGGTGATTAATTAACCCTTTGATGATGATCCCCTTTCGTTAAGTCATTGAAGTGGGGTGACTTAACCCCTTTGAGTACGACGAGTAAATCCCTTGGCTATGATGACTTAATCCCCTGAGTACGATGATTTAGTCCTGTAGTTCATTATTATTAAGTGAAGTGATGTTAACCCATTGAGTATGGTGACATTATACTCAAAGGGTTAATGATCGCATAGCTAATAGTAGTTAGTGTGTTTGTTTAAAGTGAGAAGGGTAATTAACGATATTTATAGTGAGGAGAGGAGGCTACTACTACTAATACTACTACTACTATTACACTGTTATTTCTTAATTAACCTGCTGGTGTTGCACTCACCTGTACAAAGCCCTTATGGCCTCCACCTGCATCTCAGAAATCGGGTCGACCTCTTCAGGCGCCACTTCCTCCTCCAGGTTCCTGTCCATCACCACCTCTGGTTCCTTTGGCAGGTAGTTGTCGCTGGTCCTGGCTGCCACCTCCAGCTCACAGAGGAACCTTCTGATGCAGGGCATAACATCAACCTCTGGTACCTGACAGGGAGGAACGAGGTTGAACAGCTGGTGTGGTAGGAATCGGATGACACAAAGACGATATGAGAATTACCTGGATTAAATTAATCCCGTTATCTCCTTTTCCTTACAAGAACCTTCGGATGTGCGGGAGAAATCCTATATATCCGGGAGGGGATGTTATTGATCACAGGTCATGAGGGTCGTAACACCTGGAGATTCCCAAGAGTTTACCCGTGGGAGAGCAAGGCATGAATCCCACTCCTGTCAGCACGTGTGAAGGTGGCGAGCATCCTAAATCACAGAAACCTCTTTACTTCTCTACAAACTCGTGAGGAAATTGACCTCCATCTCCATCGAGGAAGAATATAAAACAAAAATAACAGACTATACCAACTACTGGTTAAGATTTTTTTTTCGTTTTTTTTTTTTAACTTTTATGCTTCAGTATCTCACAAAAATCACAAAATTTGGTGCCTTGTTATCCCAAACTTCACCTTCACAAGACGCTTCCTTGACTAGGCTAACTCTTATCCATGTTTGGACTTATGGTCAACGTCCTGCCAAATAAAAGAGAAAATCCCTCCATTCAGGGTATAGAAAATATCTGTAAACCGCTCCACACACACACACACACACACACACACACACACACACACACACACACATATACGCTGTAGATCTCCCAGAACTGCACACAATTCTTCCTTCTTTATACCGAACTATCGCAGGGTTAAACGAGAGAGAGAGAGAGAGAGAGAGAAAGAGAGAGAGAGAGAGTTGAGTAGATGAAGCAAGTCGAGATGAGTCGAGGTGAGTCGAGGTGAGTCGAGGTGGCTTTGTGATTTCCAAATGCAACCCAACAATACTCTCTCTCTCTCTCTCTCTCTCTCTCTCTCCTTCACCCACTATCCCTCACCTTCACTCTTACTCTATACACCTTCCCTCTCTCCTTCACTCTCACTCTCACCTGAAGCCACACCACTGTACTTACCTGATAAAGTGTACTGTTATCAAAGCTCCCTATGATGTTGGTATTCCTGCTGCTGCTGCCAGGGGACCTCTTGCCCCTCTCAATGATATTGTTAAAGACTTTATTTATATTGATGGGGAAGATGCCTTGTGTTGACAGGAGTACCAGCTGAAAGTACCAAGGTGTGGGATGTGAGTAAAGATGATTCAAATTTAGTCAAGGTGCTGTAGAAAGTTAATACAGGTGTATGATTTTTATTGATGATAAGTATCTGAATCTGTTTTTTTTTACTCGAATTAGAATATAAATTAGTATTGGAGTTAAGAATATAAACGTATCTAGTAGCTAATACATATTTGCTTCTATTTCATTTAAATCAGAATCAATCAGAATCAAGGTGGATAGATAAAGCTGATAAATATAAGTAATGTTTTTTATCGAATCAGAATCAGACCTGGAATGGTGGACTTATAAATTTGTTACAGCAGTCGGTCGTATAAAACACTATTAAGTTTTGGAAAGTAGTACATCCCTATACATGTATTGGAACGATAGTGTGTTGTCCAGCCATTTAACCAATCAGACAACAGTGCGCAGAACATTCAGTCAATTACCAAAGCAATAAATCCAAAGAGAAGGTCGGTGAGTTAGCCTTCTAAGATAACATAACCAGTGATGGAGGTGTGAAACAAGCATAACTACCCAATTCATTGTTCCGTGGCGACAGTAACAATACTCTCTCTTATGGCTTGTTGTTCAGAGTTGTTTTCTCATTGGTTGAATATTCCCACACTGTTGTCAGGTTGGTTAAGTGACTGAATAGCTCATTACGTTACCAACAGATGGCGTGGTAAAGTATAGGGCTATGTTTCTGAGTTGGAATACCCGCTTACCGACCTGTTGTCTTATAAAGTCTGTCGGGGGTGCTGGTGGTAGAGTGGTACCGCTCTTGCCTTCGCAAGCGAGATGTCACGGGTTCGATTCCCAGGCCGGTGGAAGTTGTTTGGACATACTTCCTAGCCCCCATTATTCCCTGTTCACCTAGCAGTAAAGTAGGTACCTGGTGTAAATCGAAAGTTGCGAATTCGTATTCAGGGACAAGTTGTTGGAGCTTCCAATAACTTGATGACATAAACCATTGACTCTTCTACGCCCTTAACTCATGAGACATAAAGGCAAGCATGAACTTAGCATGCTTCCCTGTTGGGCGCTGTAAACGCTTCTGCGCTTCACCTGACACAAGAATGTAGGGGGGTGCCCAATAAAAAAAAAAAAAAATTAGCTCTGTCCTACATCCCAGTTCTCTCCGTGGCATAGACACACACAGCTAGTGACGTCGAAATGCTTTGCGTGTTGTGTAAAATCAAAGCAGTTTATATAGTCTAGAATAACTTGAACATCGACAAACTCACAAACATCAGCAAAAATGTGTTAATCTTCTCAGGGATGATACACGAGTCGTCGCCATAGTGTTGTTGTGTCTTCCCGTGCTCTACAGGAGGCAGTATGAGGGCTTAGAAAGTTAAGGGCGAGTATCAGCTATCGACGGGGTAATAAGTCAATTAGCTTGTGTCACGGAGGGCTTCACACCTGTGTCATGGTTCACCGCTACCTTTGGTATATAAATGAACGTAATTCACTCCTTGATTGTCAATTAACATCTGTTGTGCATTTTTTTGGCTGCCGGAGATGGCTTGATTTATCCTCATCACACTGAAGTATCGCTGCTGTTGTCGTGTCAGTCAGCGTGTTGATGTGAGGATGGTAATGATGGTGATGATGATTATGAGTATTATTCACACTTACCTTAATTAGGGTGAGGATGATAATTAAAGCACCTGTCTCGTCTACCGCCAGGGCGTTACTCCCCATGGATATGAAGGTGTAGGTGACGAGGGAGGTGGCGAGGGGCAGCAACACCCCCACCAGGAAAAACCACATGAACCGATTCATCTCAAACCTGAAGAAGGAGGAAGATATTTGATTCCACACCTACAGGAGGAAAATAGTTAGGTTTGTTATTGTGGCCGTGTGGAGTAGGGGAGGTAGTGGTGTTCTGTGGGAGGTAGTGGTGTTCTGTGGGAGGTAGTGGTGTTCTGTGGGAGGTAGTGGTGTTCTGTGGGAGGTAGTGGTGCTCTGTGGGAGGTGGTGCTCTGTGGGAGGTGGTGTTCTGTGGGAGGTAGTGGTGTTCTGTGGGAGGTGGTGCTCTGTGGGAGTGTAGTGGTGTTCTGTGGGAGGTAGTGGTGCTCTGTGGGGTAGTGGTGTTCTGGGGATGTAGTGGTGTTCTGTGGGAGGTGGTGGTGCTCTGTGGGAGGTTGGTGTTCTGTGGGAGGTAGTGGTGTTCTGTGGTAGGTAGTGGTGTTCTGTGAGGTAGTGGTTTCTGTGGGAGTGTAGTGGTGTTCTGTGGGAGGTAGTGGTGTTCTGTGGGAGGTAGTGGTGTTCTGTGGGAGGTACTGGTGCTCTGTGGGAGGTAGTGGTGTTCTCGAGGGGAAGGTACCTAGGGGAGGTTAGATTAATTTAGGTTAGATTATGTTTGGTTAGGTTAGATTAATTACGTTATTTTAGGTTAGGTTAAGGTAGGTTAGGTTAATTAAGTTATTTTAGGTTAGGTTAAGGTAGGTTAGGTTAGGTTAGGTTAAGGTAGGTTAGGTTAGGTTAGGTTAGGTTAGGTTAGGTTAATTAAGTTAGATTACCTGGGGCCCTTACATGATGCTGTAAATCTCCCTCTTACGCGCGGAAATGATAAAAAAAATTGTAGCATGATAACGGGAAAAAACGGCATGATAACTGGAGAAATACAGCATAATAACGGGAAAAAACAGCATGATAACGGGAAAAAACGGCATGATAACTGGAGAAATACAGCATAATAACGGGAAAAAACAGCATGATAACGGGAAAACACCGTGATAACGGAAAAAACACCATGATAACGAAAAAAAGCATGATAACGGGAAAAAACACCATGATAACGAAAAAAAGCATGATAACGGGAAAAAAAAGCATGATAACGGGAAAAAACAGCATGATAACGAAAAAAAGCATAACTGTTGTGTTGACCTTTCATGTAATCACTAGCTCGCAATATTGCAAGTCCAATTTTAACGAGCTTTTCGACCAGCAATCTAAACGTCATTTACTGTACAGGTATAGGCTCGCCATCAATGACCTTCCACCATTCTGCAATACATCAAACAATAACAATGATGTGAATTATACGTAAATTATAGACCTAGTTAAATTCCAGATCAATTATTATTTAAAAGGATTGAATAGGAGATTTATGAAGAAATAATTACATACCAATTATAAGGGATTTAAACGGGATTAAACTCTGTGTAAGTATGTTTAGAATATTATTAATCATGTTTGTTGTTTACGTCGTTTATTATCGTTTTTCTATATTTATCATTGACCGGATCTTTATTATTTCCATCTTCTCTGTTCCCTTCGTCTCAACCCACACGACCGTAGGAAGGAAGACGATAGAGCCACAAATAATGGATAATATGAAAAAATGGATAGAAAAAAAAGTGTATTATATTGAAATTTGTGATAAATACGTACTAGGATTTTTTATAAGCTGGGTAACATTCTTAAATATACCACCATTTTTCTCTCTAAGCAACAGACACATAAATAATAATTAAAAAAAACAAAAATAAAACTCATGGGGAAGAAAGAGTCGAGTAGAGAGAACAAAAAAGGAACTAGGTAGGTGGGCTGTGACTGCCAGTGGTTCATAGGTGGTGGGTCAGTGTGTGGTGAGGGTGAGATTAAGAGTTGGGGGTGGTGGGTGAAGGGGTAAGGGTGGGGAGTAAGGGTTGGGGGAAGTGGGTGAGGGTGAGGAGGAAGGGTTGGGGAGATGAGGGAGAGAGAGAGAGAGAGAGAGAGAGAGAGAGAGAGAATAGTTGTAATGGGTTTATGGCTTGTTTCCTCTCTCTCTCTCTCTCTCTCTCTCTCTCTCTCTCTTCTTCTCTCTCTCTCTCTCTCTCTCTCTCTCTCTCTCTCCACAGCTGCAACATCAACCTTCTTTTCATGTTGGGAGGATTAACAGTACCCATAGCCTGTACCTTCACAAGTCTCCAGGTATTGACAGGATCAGATGAGGCCGTTGAGCTTCTTACTGGAGGGGGATAATAACACTACCAGAGAGGAGCTACCTGAAGATGGGGGATATAAAGGTCTTTTGAGAGAGAGAGAGAGAGAGAGAGAGAGAGAGAGAGAGAGAGAGACAGAGAGAGCTGGGCAACTTAATTTACCATATTTACCACGCACCGACCAGTTCAAATATCAACAATCTCGTGGTAATATTAATAAAGATGAGAAAAAAACTCTTAATAATTAACTTAATGTAAACCTACTAATGTATGACTGTAGAAGGAATTATCTCCAAGAGTTAGTTTAGGTTAGGTTAGGTTAGGTTAAGAGTCGCTTAAGAAGAGGGAAGGGTGGACGTAGAATCAAGTCTTTATAGATCGTGGTGCGGCAATGGGAATTAAGCTTGCCAACCCTCTGTCCAACACCTATGATACTATAAGGCGGTAGAAGTAGTATATGACAGCTACGGGAAAGGTTATTGGTGACACTTATTGGTGGAAATGTTGTGTGTTTAGTTTCTCTTGTATTTGGAGTTTTTTGCTCCCTTTTCTCGTCTATTCTCTTACATGTCTCTATCCCACGCATTCTTCCCCTCTCTCATCCACCTCTCTACCTCTCACATACCTCCCTCTCCCTCTCTCATCCACCTCTCCACCTCTCACATCACCTCTCTCTCCCTCTCCCACCACTCCTCACTTCCGGAGTAAACAAAAGCTCCAATAAGTATCGTGACTCGTCTTCCCTTTGTCGTGTTTGGTTATACACTTTACTAATCTACGTGTGTGTGTGTGTGTGTGTGTGTGTGTGTGTGTGTGTGTGTGTGTGTGTGTGTGTGTGTGTGTGTGTGTGTGTGTGTGTGTCCTCCTACTTTTCGCTGTTTTAGATCAACATAGAAGTACTTTATTTACATCTAACTTAATACATAATTTCTTTAATATAATTTAACTATTTGAAAAACACTTAACCTACATTTATATAGTTCCTTAATACATGAACTCTGTGTTATAGGCCACCAAAATGATGAACTAACAATGTATGAGTCGTTAAGCGGAATGACCTCAGTTTAGTGGCCATGTCCAGTTAATCTGGTCAATGCTGACGTCAGGAATGGACCTCGTACCCCACCACCACGACACGACACGACCCCCACCACCACGCCAAGACTACCGCCACCACCACGCCAAGACTACCACCATCACCACCAAGACTACCACCACCACCACCACCACGACTACCACCACCACCACCACCACCACGCCAAGACTAGCACCACCACCACGCCACTACCACCACGCCGACCACCACCATCACCACGCCACGACTACCACCACGCCACGACCACCACCACCACTACGCACAACTACCACCAACACCACGCCACGACAACCACCACGCCACTAGTACCACCACGCCACGACGACCACCATCAACCACGCCACGACTACCACCACGCCACGACTACCACCATCACCACGCCACTACTACCACCACGCCACGACTACCACAATCACCACGCCACATTACCACCACCACCACCACGACACGACACGACACGACTCACCACGACACGACACGACAACCACCATCATCACCACCACGCCAAGACTACCACCACCACCACCATGACACGACTACCACCATCACCACGCCACATTCACCACCACCACGCCACGACTAACACCATCACCACGCCACGACAACCACCATCACCACCACGCCAGAACACCACCACCACCACCACCACGCCACGACACCACCATCACCACGCCACATTACCACCACCACCACCACGCCACACTACCACCATCACCACGCCACAACAACCACCATCACCACCACGCCAAGACTACCACCACCATCACGCCACGACCACCACCACCACCACTACGCCACGCATACCACCATCACCACGCCACGACTACCACCACTCTACACTACCACCACCACTACGCCACAACTACCATCACCACGCGACTACCACCACGCGACCACACCACAACACTACCATCACCACAGCACGACTACCACCATCACCACGCCACGACTACCACCACCACGCCACCACGACTACTACCACCACACGACTACCACCACGCCACGACCACCACCACCACACTACCATCACCACTACCACCACCGATCACCACGCCACTACCACCACGCCACCACGCCACGACCACCACCACCACTACGCCACGACTACCACCACGCCACGACTACCACCATCACCACTACTACCACCACGCCACGACTACCATCACCACGCCACTACGCCACCCACCACCACGACCACCACCACCACCACCCGCCACGACTACCACCACGCCACGACCACCACCATCACCACGCCACGACTACCACCACGCCACGACCACCACCACCACCACGCCACGACTACCACCACGCCACGACTACCACCATCACCACGCCACGACTACCACCACGCCACGACCACCACCACCACCACACCGACTACCACCACGCCACGACCACCACACCACGCCACGACTACACCATCACCACCACCTACGCCACTACCACCACGCCACGACTACCACCGCACCACGCCACTACCACCACCACGCCACGACTATCACCACGCCACGACCACCACCACCACACTACCATCACCACGCCACTACTACCACCATCACCACGCCACGACAACCACCACCACCACCACACTACCACCACCACCACAGCACGACTACCACCATCACCACGCCACGACTACGACTACCACCATCACCACGCCACGTTACCACCACGCCACGACCACCACCACTACGCCACAACTACCACCATCACCACGCCACGACTACCACCACGCCACGACCACCACAACACTACCATCACCACAGCGACTAACATCATCACCACCACGACCACCACGACCACCACCACCACTACGCCACGACTACCACCACGCCACGACTACCACCATCACCACACGCACTACTACCACCACGCCACGACTACACCACGCCACGACCACCACCACCACACTACCATCACCACGCCACTACTACCACCATCACCACGCCACGACAACCACCACCACCACCACACTACCACCACCACAGCACGACTACCACCATCACCACATTACCACCACCACGCCGACTACCACCATCACCACGTCACTACTACCACCACGCCACGACTATCACCATATCACCACGCCACGACCACCACCACCACACTACCACCACCGCCACGACTACCACCACGCCACGCTACCACCATCACCACGCCACTACTACCACACCACCACCCACCACGCCACGACTACCACCACCACTACGCCACTACTACCACCACGCCACGACCACCACCAACCACGACGCCAGACCACCACCATCACCACGCCACATTACCACCACCACGCCACTACCAATCACCACACGCCACTACTACCACCACGCCACGACAACCACCACCACCACACTACCACCACCACAGCACGACTACCACCACCACCACGCCACGACTACCACCACGCCACGACCACCACCACCACTACGCCACGACCACCACCATCACCACGCCACATTACCACCACCACGCCACGACTACCACCATCACCACGCCACATTACCACCACCACGCCACGAATACCACCACCACCACACTACCACCACCACCACCACCATCACATATGACCCTCCACATTACCAACACAACACTACGACCCCACCACCACCATGAGATTATTACCAGAAGAACCACACTACGACCATTACCAGCACTGCCACACTGCCAAAGAGAGAGAGAGAGAGAGAGAGAGAGAGAGAGAGAGACTCACCCGGGTAGATGTTGTCCCACTGAGAGTTTGCCGGTGTACTGAATGCGCCAGGTACCAGCTACCCACCTTGAGCTCAATACACAGTCGCTCGCTCTCTCGCGTTATTAAATTCTCGTCACCTCTCTTTCTCTGATATAGATTTCTCTCTTTTTATTTACCAAGGTCTCTCTCTCTCTCATTCTCTCTCACTCTCTTTCTCTTTTCAATGTCTTTCTTAATCATACTACTTACTGTAAATGCCTCTCTCTCTCTCGTTTTCTATAGTTTTTCTTTCTTTTTTCTCTCTCTATCTATGTATATATCTGTCTGTCTGATTCTATCTCTATTTTTCATAGTCTGTCTGTCTGTCTCTCTGTCTGTCTGTCTGTCTGTCTGTCTGTTTCTAGGTCATAAAACACGTATACAAATTATTGTCAGGTTAAGTTAGGTTAGTTAAATTTAATTAGTTCAGGTTTGGTTAAGTTAGGTTAAATCAGTTTTGCTAAGTTTAGTTTATTTAGGTTAAGTTAGTTTAGATTAATTAACATAGGTATTTTAAAATTAAGTTAGGTTATGTTAGGTTAAATTAGATTAGGTTAGATTAGGTTAGGTTAGGTTAGGTTAGGTTAGATTAGGTTAGGTTAGGTTAGGTTAGATTAGGTTAGGTTAGGTAAAATTAGGTTACAGGACAGAAGGTCAAACAGGTTCACATGTGGGTCAGAGAAGTGCCTCATACTGCAGTCCAGGATTATCTCCCACCAGCCAGTTCACATCCTACGACAAAAAGAAACATCGTCTGGTCGCACGGTAGAATAACAAGACAAATACGTAATAATTTCTAACCTACCGTAAATGACGTAATGCTTCGTGTGTTGCGGGTATTACGGTAGCTGGAATGAAGAGAGGAACGATATCTTTGTTGTTCTTTTTGTGTTGATAAATTTGTAAAAACCGAAGCCACATGGAGAAAGGAATGTTGCTTGGGACTCAACACTCCAGTCGCTCAAGGCCACGGTATAGGGACGTCAGGGAGGGTGAGGGAGAGGTAAGGGAGGGTAGGGGAGGGTGAGGGAGAGGTAAGGGAGGGTAGGGGAGGGAGAGGGAGATGTAAGGGAGGGTAGGGGAGGGGTGAAGGGAGAGGTGGGGAGGGTAGGGGAGAGGAGGGAGAGGTAAGGGAGGGTAGGGGAGGTGAGGGAGATGTAAGGGGAGGGGAGGGGTGAGGGAAAGGAGGGAGGGTAGGGGAGGGTGAGGGGGAGAGGTGGGGAGGGTAGGGGAGGGTGAGGGAGGTGGTGCGAGGGGTAGGGGAGGGGTGAGGGAGAGGTAAGGGAGGGTAGGGGAGAGGAGGGAGAGGGTGGAGGAGGGGAGGGGTGAGGGAGATGAGGAGGGTAGGGGAGGGTGAGGGGAGGTGGAGGGTAGGGGAGGTAAGGGAGGGGTAGGGAAGGTGGGAGAGGTAAGGGAGGGTAGGGGAGGTGAGGAGAGGTAGGGAGGGGAGGGGAGAGGAGGGAGAGGAGGGAGGGTAGGGTGAGGGAGATGTAAGGAGGGAGATGAGGGAGGTAAGGGAGGGTAGGGGAGGGGTGAGGGGAGGGGTAAGGAGGGTAGGGGAGGGGAGGGAGAGGGTGAGGGGTAGGGGAGGTGGAGGGAGAGGTGGGAGGTAGGAGAGGGTGAGGAAAGGAGGGTAGGGAGGGGTGAGGGAGAGGGGGAGGGGGTAGGTGAGGGAGAGGTAAGGGGAGGGTAGGGGAGGGGTGAGGGAGAGGTAAGGGAGGGGTAGGGGAGGGTGAGGGAGAGGTAAGCGAGGGTAGGTGAGGGAGAGGTAAGGGAGGGTAGGGGAGGGTGAGGGAGAGGTAAGAGAGGGTAGAAGATGGTAGGGGAGGGTGAGGGAGAGGTAAGGGAGGGTAGGGGGGTAAGGGAGGGTGACGGAGACATTCAATTCCTCCATAGATACCTCAAGAGTTCAGCAAATGATTCCTCTTGCATACAAATTCTCTCTCTCTCTCTCTCTCTCTCTCTCTCTCTCTCTCCATCATATAGGCAGTTAAACGTGGTCAACTTGAATTAAAATAAGAGAATGAGAGCCGTTATTACACCGCCAAGAAACCCTAATATGTATGTATGCATGTATGTGTGTATGTGTGTATGTATGTATGTATGTATGTATGTATGTATGTATTTATGTATGTAATAATAATAATAATAATAATAAACGGTTTATTAATAGAGTTGCAGCCGGTGGCAGAAAATATACAGACTTACATTTGATTTAGACATAATTATATGCATTGAATACATTTACAGGGCTGTACAGTACATAAATCAGGAGTTGTTTATTATTTTAACAATAGATGGGATGATGCTGTTCTTATATCTATCGGTGCGGGCTCTTATGAGCTGAATTTTGTTGTAGTGGCGGACTGCGCGAGGTGGGTGGGTGGGGGGCTGCCGCTGGCAGTTAGTGGCGATGACAAGGGTGGTGCATTAATTGGCTGCCAAGCCTTTCCAGTGCTTGGTGGTGGAGGTCACTGAGGGATGGCATTTCCAGGGTGGAGAGAGCGTTGGTGTATGTATGTATGTATGTATGTATGTATGTATGTATGTATGTATGTATGTATGTATGTGCAAATAAATCACTGTAGGTGTGCATGATCCAGGTATATGCTGATAACCACAAGGAAAAAGAAAACACGAAGTACCCAAGCGCTTTCGTGTAATTCACATCTTCAGGGGTGAGTACAATTTTGTACTCACCCCTGAAGCGCTTGGGAACTTCGTGTTTTCTTTTTCCTTGTGGTTATCAGCATATGTATGCATGTATGTATGTTTCTTTACGCCATTTGCCTCTGTCTACCCAGTAATAATTGGGGACCTGGATGTTAATCAACATAAATATAGTGTTAGGACAGGCCAGGAATCCAATGCTCTGTTTGTTCATTTGAGGGATAATAAGCATTGCATTGACTGGGATAATGCCTCCTCAATATTACCTTGTAATTCAATTGACAGTAGGAACATTATAGAATCCAGTCTCATTAAACAAACCGAATCCGTCAACATGAATTTGAGTAATGGTATGTACAAACTGGATAATTTCGTAATTAAGAAGATTTGTAACCAGGTGAGAAGGCTGGGCCACCTTACCCTCTGACCTGACTACCGACTGCTGCGGTGCTTTTTGAAGATTAGTAGGGTCATTACCTAATACCTGACCATTGTGGACCTGATCTCACCCTCCTCTGTATATATATACCTTGTTTTGTACTTCTCCTTAGTCTGTACTCACCCCTGAAAATGTGAATTACACGAAAGAGCTTGGGGAACTTCGTGTTTTCTTCTTTCCTTGTGGTTATCAGCATATGCCTGGATAACGCGCACCCACAGTGATTTACTTGCACACACACACATATATATATATATATATATATATATATATATATATATATATATATATATATATATATATATATATATATATATATATATATATATATATATATATATGTTAAAACCTCTGAGCATTATGTTTACTCCTAGATAACGACGTCAATTCCCAGAAACTGTGTTTCATCATTTTGTTGTGTTGTGTGTGAGCTCCGTCTCCTGAAAACTTTATATTGCTGTCTGTGAACATCATCTGGGGTAATGCGACGTGTGGTGGGAGGATATCCTGGTAAATTTAATATACACATAATAATATAATAATGGTTGTCCCTCGTGTAACGAGGATGGCCGGCCTAAGGGCCACCTAGGTGTGAATTAGTTTAAGGTGTAGAAGCTGTCGCCAACACAACAACCACACCCTGAGTTAACAAGCTGTGTGACCCAGTGTTACGGAATAGTCCGAGAAGACCGGACAACTCGCCAACTGCACTGGCTAATCATTACCCCGGAACACGATACGCAATTTGATTAATATCCAGGTCCCCAATTACTGCTGGGTAGACAGAGGCAAATGGCGAGCATGTTTACCTTTACACCACAGGTCGGCACAACACACACACACACACACGTACACACACAGTGTGAGTGTATTCACCAACATGTAGAGACATGTCCAATAAGTTTTACGGCAGTGAACATTTTAGAGACCATGTACAGCCTGCAAACCTGTAAAACAAAATTAAACAATTAAAAAAAAACACGTATATTTTGTTGTGGGGCTTGATATGGCGTCCCTCATGCCCGCCTCGTTTTATTGGTGTTTTACGTTTTAATTTAATTCCCGGGGTGTTTTATTGTTCTGCTGAACAAACTCGTTTTATAGCCTATGGCCTTATGGTGTCACCTCTGACAGACAGACAGACAGACAGGCAGACAAGAGATGGATAGCTAAGTAGGTAGTTATCCATCCATCCACCCATCCACCCATCCAACCACCCATCCAACCACCCATCCATCCACCCATCCATCCACCCATCCAACCACCCACCCATCCACCCATCCAACCACCCATCCACCCATCCAACCACCCCCATCACCCCATCCACCACCCATCCAACCACCCACCAACCACCCATCCATCCATCCATCCATCCACCCAACCACCCACCCATCCAACCACCCACCCATCCAACCATCCACCCAACCACCCACCCATCCAACCACCATCCAACCACCCACCCACCCACCCATCCACCCACCCATCCAACCACCCACCCAACCACCCATCCATCCATCCATCCATCCACCCATCCACCCACCCATCCAACCACCCACCCACCCACCCATCCACCCACCCATCCAACCACCCACCCAACCACCCACCCAACCACATCCATCCATCCATCCATCCACCCAACCACCCACCCATCCAACCACCCACCCATCCAAACCATCCAACCACCCACCCATCCAACCACCCATCCAACCACCCACCCCACCCACCCATCCACACCCACCCATCCAACCACCCACCCAACCACCCATCCATCCATCCATCCATCCACCAACCACCCACCCATCCAACCATCCACCCAACCACCCACCCATCCAACCACCCATCCAACCACCCACCCACCCACCCATCCACCCACCCATCCAACCACCACCAACCACCCATCCAACCACCCATCCATCCACCCATCCATCCACCCATCCAACCACCCACC